TTGTATTCTTTAAAAAACAGAACGATAGTGAGGACGGGGCTGGTGATGCGACTGGAGAAGGGCTACAACCAACTAATCAATAACAATCGATAATGAGAATAGTTGTCAACTATTCTCATTATCGATTAGTTGGTTGAACCCCCTAGCTCTCTCCTCCATGCTGGGAGGAGGGCACAGCAAGAAGTGGGCGGGTGTAATAGCCAGCCTGCTATTGGCTACTGCAATTTGAAATGGTCAATAGCAGGCTGGTTATTGCACCCGCCCCCTACCTGCTGTATTTACATTCATCTGCCATCTGCGGAATCTTGCCACTGGCAGCCGTCACTCTCGCTGAAGCTATTCAAGCGCCATGTGCTTACAATACAATTTAAAAACAAAAATTATAAAAAGGTGGGAAAAAAGTAATTTTCAGTTTCGGCCTGACAAATTCTGCTGCAGTTCTATTCATTTCAATGGCACCCCAAACATGCCTCCCACTCGCAATGTGATCGCCCGCACTGGAACGCACGATACCGCAATGCCGTGCGTTTCAGTGCAGTGCAATTGCAAAAAAATGTATATGCAGTTTTATTCTGAATAAACTTTGTGTTTGTAACACGGCAATTGTGTATTTTATTTTAAATTGAGGATGGTATTTAATTTTTTTATCCGATTAATCGAAAAAATAATTGGCCAACTAATCCATTATGAAAATAATCATTAGTTGCTGCTCTAGACTGGAGTACTGTACAGCTCGTGTCACATCTCTCCCTCTCTTCAGTGTCTAGAAGCCTGGCCTTGCGTGCAAAGTAAGATTTTGCTACTTTGCAAATGCCTTCTGCACATAACACACAGCTTTTTAATGACAATTCACACACCCAGTGCGGTGCACATATTATCATTTTGCCCTGGCAAAATCTGGCTTTAATGTATCAGGGTTGCAGAGAGAATATGTAGGTGCCCATACACAAAATTTCCGTCCGATGATCGAACCATCGTCCGAAAATCGTTAATGAGAACAGTCGTACGAAAATTGTATGACGACCCCATCCTGCCGCGACCATCGCGGCAGGATTAGTGGTCTTTAGTAGAAATCACGAATTTGGTTAATCGACCACACGGATTTTCATTTGCACATGAGCAGTGTTCATTTTTGTTTGCACATAAGCGGTGCGATATTTTCTGTACGAAAACGCCATCAACCTATCGAATTTCGTACGATTTGACAGAAGTTTTCTAACCTGCAAGTAAAGTTAAAAGTTGTACGATTGTACAGTATTTGCGGTTGTACACTGCCCATCAACCTTATGAATATCTGACGAAAACTAAACGAAATTCGGCCGATATCCGTAAGTTGAAAGGGCACCTTTACACGGAGATAAAATGAGAAAAAACTGTCACTGTCACAAATACTGTTGCATTTCACTACTCCAACCACAGCTAACCTTTGTAAGTTTAATAAGGTGAACCGTACACGTGCTAAAAGACATTTGCACCATTGCAGTAATCTGAACATGTGGGTGCTCAATTTAAAAACAAAAATTACAATATAAAATATTTTCTAGGTTCACATAAAGGAGTTCCCAGGCCACACTAAAATTGGGCTCCCTCAAGCAGTGTCATTGTAAGCAATAACTGCTGATCTTTCACAGCCAAATTGAAATAACATTTATGTTAAATTTGTTACATGTTCCTATTCACACAGCATTAGCAAAAATAAATAAAAAAATGCTACTTTCAGTTAAAATGCTGACGTTGCACACAAAAGCTTTTTTTGGTATAGGGGATGCATGGGCAGAGAAAACCACATTGTACAAAGCAGTCTTCAGCAGAAGTGAATTTTTATTTCACCTGGAAAACCTTATTAAAATAGTGGAAGTGAGCCAGTGAGAAGGGACATATAATTGGTCTATCTGACCACAAGAGAGAATTTCAGATTCCCATTGGTAACAATATGTAAGTTTTCTTGTGCAATATGTCTGACATTTTTACTGCAAACATTCCAGTCAATAAAATCTTCAGAGTTGTTTATGTGTAACTGGAACATTAAAATGCAGGCAAATGATAACCAGAAAAGTATAATGTTGGATGTGTCTGGCTGCAGATGTTTCCACACTGAAATCTGCATTGCTGTGTGCTAATGATCTGCTATTTCAGCTGTTACAGTGTCCAACTATAGTTTTCTAATTTTCCTACTGCCACTATTCGTATTCATTGTAACACCTCTATTGTTCATGGCCAGTATCCAGCAGCATAGCACACCTCAGCACAATAAGAACAGACTGAGGAAAATTGGAACTCCTAATATGGTGATGCTATTGGCTCTGTCCTATACATCTCACATTGGCTGCTCATCTCTCCAGGCAGGTGCAGACACTGAATAGCTGTTTCAATAGTACAATTAACATTATCTTTGTGTCTATTCTAATAGACAAAACATGTAATTAATGAAAACATGAGAGACAAGTTCAGAAGAAAGCATTACCAGGATATAATTTAGCAATGTGATGTGCAAGAAAACCCATCATTGTTGTAAATGAGTGCTCAGGGGTATACATGTAATATGACTGTGAGGGCAAGGTCAAAAAGTATTTTCATTAATAGAAAGCAAATCGTGCTACATGGAATAGGTCTACCATACCACAGCATCAGACATATTAACAATAATGGGTTGCACCAAGAGGTGCTATAGGCACATAATTCACCCTGAGAAAAAAAGCAACGGTGCACGAGGAATATGGATGCAGAGGCAGCTACCTACATCTACCAAACTGAAGACCACAGGAATATAGGTGGCCAGCATCACTGGTACAAGGAAAACTGGGGACATTAGAAATATTAGCAGCCCACCTTTATAAATACAATAGTTTTACAATTTGTAACTCAGAACTATGCTTCACTTTTTTTTGACAGTAACACAAATAGGGGTGTAATTTTTAAACAATTTCCAGATCCATTTGCCCTGCAAAATTGCATGTACATTCGTTCTGTGCGATGCAATATCAGGTAAATACAGTCTTCAGGCCACTAGATGAAGCTGAGGAACACAGAAAAAGAATATTATGATTTCTATGCTCCTAAGCTCCATCTAAGACTGTATTTACCTGATATTACATTAATTCTGGAAATAAAAAATATGTTAACATTTGTTTTTGCCTCCATTCACACAAAACAAATGTACATGCAACTTTATAGGGTGAATGGCTATGCAAATTTTTGCAAACACTCCCGATAGTGTTTTAGGTGTATATGAATGTCATTGTTTCTTAGATACTCAAAAGTTGCGTTGTTGCTCAGTGAGAACTTTATAGAGAATTCATAAGGTGAAATATTAAAACACTACAACTATATTTTAGCAAAAGACATTCTGGAACTATGAACAGAAAAAAGGGGACCCTTGCACCATAGGGAACATTTTTCTTGCTATCTATTGTCTTCTGTGACACTATCATATAAATTAAAGCAACATATGGTTGCTTGAAAAAAAAATAAAAAATCATACTGTATGGTTGAGATTTTTCTTCACAATTCTAAGATTGTACAGCAGATGGCTGCACCACCTCCTGAAACACTGAAGTAATGCACATCCTTTAGTAAATTTATTTCCATTTGCATCTATAAAAGAACTAAAGAGTGTGCCACATATGTGTTTAAGGTGAACGTTTCTAATTTTCCGGTTATATCTTTCTTGTGAAGTCATAAGAGCGGTTATTGCACCATATATGGATACGCAGTTGTGCAATTTTGCTTTTCCAATTATGTAATAAAATCTGAAAATGATTTTGAATGTTCTTTTCAAAGAGGCCACATCATTTTTTTTTTGCTGCTAATTCTTTTAAATGTCAGTCAGGCTATAAAGAATTGAGAGCCCTATAGACTTTGCACAATCCCCCGTGCCTATTATTGTGGGACATCTGGCCAGCACCCAGCAGGAGAGAAGTAAAAGTTCAGCCTCTCTAAGGCTAGGACCTGTTTAGGAGAGGCCATAAAGGAGCTCCAGTCTCAGCTCTCTATTACTTAGAAAAAAAATTTTTGGTGAAGAAACCTAATATTCAACATGGTCACTGTCAGCACACACAAACGTAAGATGACAGTTGTCCAATACCTGCAGTTTCAATATGGATGACAAACAAACAGAGAAGGGGGCAACATAGTTGTTCTAGGTGTATGCTGTATATATAGACAAGTGAAAGGTTATAGCATGGCTGAATAAGAAAGATCCAGAGTTTGCCAAATTCCATCCAAACTAGCAAATTTTGTAAAGCAGAAAGCATTTGCTTATCTCACTTCCATCACAGTTTCCAAAAAATAAAGGGGTTTATTCTTCATTTTACTATAGCGGACGGAGCCATACAAATTATTCCGTTATGCCCTTGTGACCAAATGTATATTCCGAACCACTGATTTATAGTACAGATACAGGCTAATAATATACAGAAATGGTTATATGATGGCCACATACACTAGCAGATACAGTCATATGACTGGATTTTAGATTTCACCCCTTCTATACACATGAGCATATTTATTAAACTGGGGAGTTGTTTGCACTCCATACACTGTGACTATCGCCAGACGTCTAAATGTACCCAATATGAAGGATAAACGGCCTATTTATATACCAAAATATGGCAACATGATAGACTATTATGCTAAAAAAAACGTAATACAATATACTAGATTGTTATATTGGATGCTGTCCCATGCTTATTAATATGACTTTCACAGTGAATAAAAGATACAAGATTATAGAGCAACACAAGATCAGGGACATGATAATAACCTGCAAAGGGAATCAGAAATAGTAATACGATTCCCAGACTATTGTAGGTACCTTATATTCTGGTGAGTTGATTGAAAAAAAGAACGCTTTTGAATCTTAAAAAACTGGAGCTTCAAAAAAAAAAAAAAGTGGTTGGGTGACCAATTGGGACCCATCATGAGTAGGTTGATCACATTTTCGGTAGAGAAGTGCAAAATAAACATTGCAAGTGCCTTATAGCAAAATAAACTATGCTTACCTAGTAGCTCCACACCTCGTGTCAGCCCATAAACATCGATTAAAGCCCAGAGGGGTTCTGTAGTCCGCACTCCACTGAAGAACAGCATTGCCCCAGAGTCATTAACCCGGTAAAACACTCGACCCTTTTTATCCACCCAGAATGCTATGATGTTTCCTTCGTTAGCAAACTCTTCAGGTAGTGCCTTGGCCCAGAATCCACTCTGAGAGACGAGGTCAGGACAGGCATATTTAGGTAATGTGTCAGGATTGATCCGTGATGGATCTTTGGAGGTGAATCCAAGTCTGAGAGCACCACTCCAACAGCACTGTTTTTTGGTTATCTGAAAAAGAAGTAGTAATTTTAAGGATTGTGTATACAAATTCAAGATGTTTCAAACACAATATTCATGAAAGTAGAGACTATTCAAATGACTGTTTCTTTGCATCTGTAGCACTAGTCTGTATACTTTTAGTTGCTCTAGCAATGCACGTACATGAAAGCACCCATGCGTCACTGTGCTTCTATGATTACACATTTACCTTACCTAGCGCCTCCTGCTTCATGGACAACTGGCGCACGTACATTAGTTCCCCAGTAACAGATAAGTTCTAGTGACATAACCTAGTAAAAAACTGAGAAGTTGCTAGAAACTAGTCTTGTGGCTTATCCATTTAGATGTAATGGTCTTTGAGCTCTAATGTTATAGAGCCGGTAAGTGTATGTAAAGGCAAAAGGTTTTTGTTTTAGATTTAGGGAGTAGAGAAGGTTTAGGCCAGGGGTGCCCACTAGGTAGATCGCGATCTACCAGTAGATCGCAAAGTGAAGACTGGTAGATCTCGATCGGCTCACTGAACTGTGTCCTGTCCTCCTGCAGTGCTCGTGCGGCTAAATGTGTTAGGCGCCGCAGACGGGAAGGAGAGAGTAGAGGAGACTTGGGAAGCTGCTGCAGTGGAGGTAAGAAAAGACAGACCGGAGAGAGACAGCAGAGAGAGGGAGAGAGAAGAGACAGCAGATAGAAACAGGGGAGAGAGAGAGGAGAGGGCCGGTTCACACCACACAGTCTGCGTTCCAGAGTGTTCAGCCTCTAAACGCATTGGAACGCAAGCCGGCTGGCTCCCTGCGTTCAGGGGAGGGGGCGTGGCGGTGCATTTAAGTGAATGGCACCACAGCCACGCCCCCGCCCTCAGTGTGATCACCCGCACCCGGAACGCAGGCACATTAATGCCTGCATTCCGGTCCAGCGCGATCTGCAAAGATGCAGCATTTTTGCCGATCGCACTGGACCGGAATGCAGGCATTAATGTGCCTGAATTCCTGGGGCGGCGATTGCACTGGGGGCGTGGCTGCGGTGCCATTGACTTCAATGCACTGCCATGCCCCCTCCTGCCCCTGAATGCAGGTGTTTTTTCATTGGTAGATCTCATTGAGCTCGTCATTTGAAAAGTAGATCTCCAAACGAAAAATTGTGGGCGCCCCTGGTTTAGGCCCTCTATCAAGTTTTTATTGCTGCCTGTGTTCCGCCTGGGGAGAGTTTCCCTCTATTTGTCCTGATGACTGTTGTCAATAATTCAGAAGGTGATGTGAAATCCAACATTTTAGCGTTGAAAGCAAGAGCTGAGGGGACATCTTCCAATAAGGACAAATATTCCAGTGACAACTGTCTAAGATGGGGACACGCCTTCCACGTCCTGCAAAATCACCCCAGCTGGATACTGACTGTCAATAATAACCTGCATGTGGATTTAGCCATCTATTCAAAACAAAAAAATATTTTTTTTTATACATACACTTTGGGTGTATGTCTGCGCTAAATAAAAAAAAAAAAAAAAAAAAAATCATCATATCCAGTACTGTGCAATACATGCATATTTTGTGCATATTTACTCCTTAAAAATGCTGCAAATACAGAAAATACCTGTTGATAACAGGGCCAATATGTATCTTTCTATACCTGCAGTGTTTAAACTATATACAACAAATGAAACATACAGACATGGTCACCTATTTT